CGGGAACGTTCCCGAACGTGGAGCCGACCACGCCCCGCGCCTCGCACCTCGCCGCGCTCACGGCCCTTCGCTCGCCTCAGGCGGACGTGCGCGGAGAAGAGGGGGCTGCCCCCTAGAACGGCCCTTTCCTTCTGCCGGGTGCTCTCGGTGACCGCCGTGGCCCCGTGTTGTGGACGCACACGCCTTAGCGTTTCACCCCGTGGCCATGACTACTTGCCACAGAGAAAGTGAACGTTCCAGGCGCCTGCAAGAGGGATCCGGGGGTCTCTGAGCACGGAGCCTGGGGGTCCGGACGTTACCCAGCGCCGGCCTCGGGCGACTCCTGGGCGCACTGCCGTGTGGGAAGCACTGAGGGCGCACCTCCCTGACAGGCCGCCACAGAACGAATGCCCCGCAGGGGGACTGCGCTAGAAAGTTCTGGAACAATGGTTCCTCACGCTGGCAGCACCGTCCGGACCTGCAGGGCCTGCAGATACCAGGGCCTCACAGAGTTAGGAAACGGAACTTCGGTTTTCAAGCTTCTTGATAATTCTGATCTACGTTCGGGACCGAGAACAATTCTCCTCAGTCGTCTCCTTTCAGGCCTCCCTAGGTCTGGAGTCTGGGAAAGGAAACCGCTTTCTCCGCGCCTGTGGCCAATGCCAGCGTTAGCAGAGCCCGACGTCTGCTGCGCTCTGCTTAAGAATAGAAGACTCATCAGTCCCAAATGCTGGTGCGACGCAGGAAGCTCTGTTATCGGACGTCTGAGGAGACAGTTGAGATAAAACGGTCCCAGAGCCTCGGCAAGGGCGTTGTAAAGGGAAAAGTGTAGGGAACGAAAGGAGGAAGTGTAGGCCATCGGAAGTCTGACACGGGACATCCCGCAGGCTCCAGGGTTTCTGTTTTGATTACCTTAGGGCCAATTTTGTGACTCTTTCATTCGTCCTTGGAACTCAAGGACGTCTGACTCCCACAGGCTGGACAGTGCCTTGCTCCTGGACGGCTGCGACTCCAAAGGAAGAATGATTAGTTCGCAGAGTTCCTGATTAGATTTTCTTATCTTGCTCTTCCTGAGCACTAAGTCCTGCAGCATTTTCCCACGAGCCATGCTGTGAGCCAAGGTTACAAAAAGACTTCTTCATAGCTAGCATCCTGCTTAAAGCTGCATACTGCAAAACGGCTCTTTGAAGGCTAGTTGTCTATGACTATTTGCTGTGATGGGCTCTTACGCCAACAATAAAAAACGAACAAGTAAATACACGAACTCCTATAGGGAATGCTCAACGCTGAAATTGTTTTTAACAAGAACACAGATTCATCTTGAAAAAGGGGACTAAGGTACCTACTGCCACCTGAGCATGGTTCTGCTTAACTGCAGGAAAAGTATCTTTATGAGCCAAAACCTTTTAGCTGAATTATGAGCTGACAATACATGACTCCTTTAAAGTTCTACTATATACCAAAATAATGCTTTTGTTACCCAGAACTGTTAAACTTGTGGGGTCAGACCAAGGTTCAGGAGCTGAGACTGTGTTAGATGTGAGCCCTAGCTTTGCAGATGACTCAGCTTGCCACACTTCCTCTGATCTTATCGGGACTTTAAGTGGCCACAATTAGGATGGTTGGACAGATACAGTAAGTTCCCTCTATTGCCTCTCTTAGCTCTCCTAGTGTGTTTTGGATTCTTAAAGTGGTGGACCATGACTTCCATCTCATTTGCCTCTCAGGAGGTCTCCTCCGTTAGTCTCTCATTTATCAGCAACTAATTAGTCAGTGACTAAGTCAGTGCTTCTTAAACACTTTATGGAATATGTCCATATGTCTAGGTGCTAAAGCAATTGGCTGAATTAGCTACATCTTTACTGAAGGAGAATCAGTCCTTTTCAAGTTTCATTAGATCCTTTATGACAAAGCTTGGAATTTTTAAGATGCAAATGTATGCACACACATATATAAATTTGGATTTACATTCCTTATAAAGCTTCCTTCTGTTTCCTCAAGGTTTCTCACCTGTAATGTTTAACCTAAACAGTTGCTGGCCCTAAAAATTCAATTGGACAGGTTTTGATTAAACAACATGTGGTAGTTGGTTGCAGTCTGTTCAGCATCCTTTCTCTCATGTCTTAGTCCATTTTGTATTGCTATAACAATACCACAGACTAGGTAATTTATAAAGAAATTTATTTCTCACAGGTCTGAAGGTTGGGAAATCCATTATCAAGGTGCTGGCATCTGATGAATACCTTCTTGCTGCAATTCCCATGGCAGAAGGTGGAAAGGTCAGGGAGTGCTTGTGAGAGAGAGATCAAACTCCAGCATCAAGCCCTTTTGTAAATAGCATTGATCTATTCCTGAGGGTGGAGCCCTCATGACCTAACACGTCCCCTTAGGCCTTGCCTCCCAACACCATTGCACTGGGGATTAAGTTTCCAACACATGCTTTTGAAGGACACACCAACTATAGCATTCTACCCCTGGCCCCCCAAATTCATGTCCTTATCATATACAAAATACATTCATTCCATTCTAATAGCTCTAAAGTCTTAACTCATTATAGGACCAACTCAATAGTTCAAAGTCCAAAGTCTTATCTAAATCAGATATGGGTGAGACTCAAGGTATGATTCATCCTGGGGCAAATTCCCTCAAGCTGTGAGCTTGTGAGATCAAAACTAATTATCTACTTCAAACATACAACAGTGAGACAGGCATTGGATAGACTCCCATTCCAAAAGGGAGAAATAGGTAAGAAAAGAAGGGTAACTGGCCCAAAGTAAGTCCAAAACCTAACAGAGAAAACAACATTAAATCTTAAAGCTTCAGAATAATATTCCTTGACTTCTTGTCCCACATTCTGGGCACACTGGGGTGGGGTTGGACTCACAAGGGCTTGGGCAGCCCATGCTGCACTTCTCACGGGTTGGAGTCTCATGACTACAGCTATCCCAAGCTGGTGTTACATGCTGGTAGCTCCACAGTTCTGGAGTCTCTCCAGCAGCCCTAACCCTGCAGTTCCACTAGGCATTTCCCTAGAGAGGATTCTCTGCCATGGCCTCAGTCCCACTGTTCCGCTAGGCATTGCTCTGGAGGGGACTATGGCAGCTGTGTCCCTGCAGCAAGTTTCTGCCTTGGCCCCCAGGCTGTTTGATGTGTCTTTTGAAATAATTAATTAATTAAATAAATAAATAAATAAATCTTAAAGCTTCAGAATAATATTCCTTGACTTCTTGTCCCACATTCTGGGCACACTGGGGTGGGGTTGGACTCACAAGGGCTTGGGCAGCCCATACTGCACTTCTCACGGGTTGGAGTCTCATGACTACAGCTATCCCAAGCTGGTGTTACATGCTGGTAGCTCCACAGTTCTGGAGTCTCTCCAGCAGCCCTAACCCTGCAGTTCCACTAGGCATTTCCCTAGAGAGGATTCTCTGCCATGGCCTCAGTCCCACTGTTCCGCTAGGCATTGCTCTGGAGGGGACTATGGCAGCTGTGTCCCTGCAGCAAGTTTCTGCCTTGGCCCCCAGGCTGTTTGATGTGTCTTTTGAAATCTAGGTGGAGGCCTCACAGCTCATGAAGTATGTGCACTTGAAGAATTAGCACTATTTGGTTGCCACCAAGGTTCACTACTTGCACCCTCCAAAGCAGTGATCTGAACCACCATACCTGGGCCTATCTGAGCCACAGCTGGGGTGGCCAGGGATCCCTGTAGGGAGCAAAGACTTGGTATGGTGCAGGTCAGTGAATGCTGAGGTCCCACAGGCACCTCTCTGGAAATCTTGCCCTCAAGGTCCTACTCTGGGTCTGTGAAGGGAGGGGCAGCCTCAAAGATCTCTGAAATGCCTTCAGGGTCTTACTGCCATCATCTGAATGAATAGCACGTATCCATGGTGATCTCTTTAGTAAAGGGTTGCTTAGCTGTACCCTTAGTTTGTTCTTCTAAACAGGCCTTTTTATTCTTTACATGGCCAGGCTGAAACTTTTGAAAACCCTTGCTTTCTGCTTCACTTTTAATTATAAATTCTATCTTTAAATCTTTTCTCTCTTGTCTCATTTTACTGTAAGCAGCCAAAGGAATCCATGCAGTACCTTGAACACTGTGCTGCTTAAATATTTCTTTTTCCAGATATCTTAGATCATGACTCTTAAATTCTGCCTTCCATAAATCCCTAAAACATGGATACAATTCAGCCAATTCTTCACCACTTTATAACAAGGGTGGCCTTTACTCCAGTTTCTAATACCTTGTTCCTCATTTTCATCTGAGAACTCATAAGAATTGCCTTTGCCATCATATTTCTACCAACATTCTGATCACAACCACTTAAGTAATCCCTAAGAATATTATAGATATGGATCCCTAAGAAGATATAAACTCTTCATAAGCTCTTGTTTTCTTCTGAGCCCTCATCAGAATTGCCCTTAATCAATCATGGCAATCTAGGCTTTAGCCC